AATTGATTTTCGGACTTTGAACTGAGAAAGGAGGCCGCTTCAATCCACTCATTGAGAAGATGAAGCGGTTGGAAAGCAGTCGCGCCATGCATGTAGTCATGTACTCGGAATTGAGGAAACGATTGCATGGACACGTTCAATATACGTGATTGCTAATGACTGAGAAGTGGCATCTCAGCTTTTTATGCGTTGTTTTGCGACATAATGTGCCTGGGGAGGGGAGCGCACTCTGCGGCGATAGTGAGAAAAACGCAATTCTGCTTTTCTCGGCTGTCTCACCGAAATAGTTTCGGTTTCTGCACCCATGGTCAAGCGTACGTCGAGGAATCTTCGACTTCCATTTGGTCGTTGACGTAGAGTAGGTCCTAAATGGTCCAACAAATCTTTTTTGTTGCTGTTTTCCTCTGTTTCAGACTTGCTATACCTCCCCCTACCTTCGCTAGATTGAGGATTAAGATGGCTAGGGGATCGTGTTGAGGAAGCATATTCTCGCCGTAATAGCTTTTGACTCTAAGTGCACACCCTATCCACCCCTTTCCCTCGTTTTCCACCCACACCCGAGAACGCCATACCCCGGCAGCTCTGTGAAAGATCTCTGACGATGAGAGCGCATGACCTCTAGGCTCTAGAGTGGTAATGGAGTTCGATCATGTGACTGCCTGACTTCAGACTGAAGACATTTGCGCCCGTTCGCGTTGCGCCATGCTCACTGTGAAGGCAAAAGTTTGAAAAGTTGACAAGACTGATCAAAACTCACTCGAAGTCGCTGACGATGGTGGTACTTGTGTTCGTGTAACATGCATCTCAGTCTGCATGTTGCTCACCAGACGATCCACTTCGTCACCGCTGTAGGACTGCTAAAAATCGATAATCGATCAGTTGTCCTGAACCTGGATTTAGCATACGAAGGCTGACATAAGACAAGATGCCATATTTCTTTCAGAGGGTACAGTGATATAAAGGTAGAGAAGATAGAGGAATTGTCGCTAAAGCTCAGTAATCTGGCACTGCGCGCCACGTTCGCAGTTCACGGTCCCTTTTGAGCCGCAGTTATTGAGCTTCCAACCCACAATAAGTAACAAACTATAATAGATGGCGAAAAGGAAGTATGAGCTTAAGCTCGAACTGAGAGTCAGGTAGATC